ATGTCTCACTGGTCAGTGACAGATTCCAGCATGTCCTGACAAAAATCCCCTTAACATTTCATTCAACTCCATGATGGAGTTCTGATGGAAACACCAGAGATTCGCTTCTTCTTGGTCCCCATATATTCATGCCAGGAGGAGCTTTGGAAAGTTCCCTGGCCCTGTGAGGAAAGGGCTGCATTGACAGCGCAGGGGACAGGACCAGATGACCTTTTCCAGTCCTATGATACCTATATCTGCAACAGCACAGCAGCATCTTGTAGAGCAGGGGTGAGGAACCTAAGTCCCAGGGGGCCAGATGCTGCCCCTGGGGAGCCTGCCCTGGCACTTCAGCCCCTGCCATTCCCCTTCAAGGCTAGAGCACACAAACACTTCTAGCCTGGCCCCCCTAGGCTCTGGTGTGCTGGCGCATGTGGGCAGTGGCTTTCTCCTCCTCAGTCAGGGGCCATGTCAGTGAGGCTTTGTTTAGGGGTTCTCTCTCGCTTGTGTGTGGCCCCTGGCTGATTTCTCGGTCGGTCAGTGGCTCCCCACCCAGAAAAGGTTCCCCGCCCCTGTTGTAGAGGGACACTACATTAGAATGATTCAGTTGCATCATTATAGCACTAGGAGCTCTGAGCGTGGATGAGAATCCCACTGAACTAGTTGCTGAGAAAACACAGAAAACTGCAGGCAGTGCTGATATTCTGCAGCGTCGGGAGATGAAAGCAAGCTCGTGTGGTTTGCTTCAGTGTAGAACAAAAGTTAACAGCCTGGCTGAGATTTGCTGGGCAGAGTTCTGGGTCTGCAGGAACTGAAGACAGGCCCTGCACTGGACTATCAGTACAGAACCTTTCGCTGTGTAGCTTCGTGCACCGACACCTCTGGCAATGACCTTTGCACCAGGCAGCGACATTAAAAGCGACAGCAGCTCTGGCCAAAGAGCTATGTCCTACCCGCTCAAAATAGAACAAGTACTTCTTAAGGGCCTCCCTGGCCTGTGCTTGCTGACTCTGGTTTACAATATCAGGATTCTCTTTGTACCGACTGCATTCGTAGTACTCGCTGCCGTGGGTCTTCCAGTCCCCCAGACACATCCAGCAGAAGTCTGTGGAGAACAAGGCACAATCAGTGAGAAACGCTGCCAGAGAAACAGACCCTATTCCCTTTAGCCACGCAGCATGGGAAGCGTGTGTGTGCCATCCTGCCTGGAGAACAGAGTACAGCTTGTGGGCCGAATGCAGCCCCATCTGGGGGGTGTATCTAAATACAGAGAGGTAACACTCCCACTGCGCTCCAAGGGGACACAGCTTAGCACACACGGCAGGTTGGAAACCAGGCCCCGGAGTCTCCAGAGGCTGCACCTCCTAGTGAAAGAGGAGGGCAGTTGCAGTCTTACTTGTGAGAGCTGCTGCTCTCTGACTGCTGGCGAGCTGCCAGCGTGGCGGCTGGCTGGATTGGGTTTAAGGATCCAGCAGTGCACAAATCCCTGCAGACAACCCACTTTGCGTTCCCATGGGGGCACGCTGGGCGGTGCTGATGGCCTGTGCTACAGGGGTCAGATCAGACTGAGTTTGGCCTTTGGACGAAGACACCTGTCCATAGCCAGCGGCTCAGGAGACAGCTCCAGAGCAGAAATCCCTGCGAGCGAGCCTACGCTGGCGCAACGCTAAGGGGAGACACTCCAACGCGGATGGCGAGGGTTCTCCCTCGGGCACAGTTTCTCCACCTCTGCAAGAGGTGGCGGCCCAGGCACCGGGAGAAGCCCTGCTGTCTGCATCAGGGGTTAGGTCACGGTAACTCTGACTCGGGGTTCACATCTGAGCCCCATATCAGTTTGTAGCGTAGACCTGACCTGAGTGAGAGGATGTGGGTAAAAGAGCAAAGGAGAAAAAGTAACACAACAGCTAAACCTGCAACAGCTTCCTGGGTCTGTCTGAAAGCGGAAAGGATGGCAATTAAACAGCTGCTGCACGAATTGCTTCGGAAAGGCTGTTGGATTGAGATCTGCTAACTCCACCCATGGGCTGGCCTGCTCTCGCAAGTGCCAACCACTGTGCTAGCTAGGGACCTGCGGTGCACCTTGTACCAGAGCATCCCGCCAAGTCACTGCCACTCCTGCTGGTCTAGCAGCAAAGGAAGTGAACTAGATGGGTGGATTAAGGTTACTGTCTTGCCTAGCCTCGCCTCTGGGAGAGAGCCCCAGACACAGGTGGGTGCCCTGGGGTAAAACAAATGTAGCATCGCACAAAAGCCACTTGCTTTGCATGCCTGATACTTCACATTGCTTGACCAAGGGCTGAGGATGGCCAGGCTGCCTCTTGCAGGGGAATAGACTGAGAAGCAGTCAAGTGGACAAGATTAGAGGATTAGGAAGCCCACCCCACTTCCGCAGCTTGGTTGACCTGTACATGTGTGAACAGAAAGCCCAAGTCTAGTTTGACACAAAGGCTCAAGCTCCATAACACAGAAAGTGGTTTCACCTGCTGGTACAGAAATCCACGTGCGTACCAAGAACTGCTCCAGGAAAGCTTATAAACACCACAGCACGTTCCTGAGGAGCAGTCTCATGACCAAAGGGAGCTGACGACCTTTTCACACCTAAATGCCACTGATGTGCCAGAAAGCAGGTAAGAACAAAGCACCGAAGTCGGAGATGTAATTAGTATCCTCTGGGTATCTGTTAACTGGCTATTTTAGACAACAGCTTTTGTTATTGGCTAATTTAGGAACCCTCCCTTTCCCCAGCAGATCCCAGATCCCGCTACGTACCGTGCTTGCATTTGGAGCATTGCTGAAAAGGAAGAGAAAGAGACATTATTGCAATCTGCCGAAGGACAGGGCAAGGGAGAGCAAAGGATCAGGGAGTTGCTCACCATGTGATTGCAGCCTCCATTCTTTTCAATGCAGATATTGCACTTGGGACACTGGGAAAAACAAAAGCAATCATTCCATCCTGCTGTTCTAGAATCGCCCCGAAGAACAGAATCCCAGCCCCAGCGTGACCCCCACACTATTCCTGAGGAGCCCATTTTCAAGTGGGATGAGGGGGATGGAGGGGTGGCTGCCTCCTGGACTCAGCAGCTCAGTGGTGCTGAGACGACAGTTCCAGGGTAAGTCATTAGACCTAGCCTTACCACTGCTGAGTAAACCAAAGTTTAACTGGCCACTCTGGCTTAGAGATTAAATCAGTTTACAAAGACAGACTGAGTTGCCACAGAGACTCAGAGCACAGGAGCACCTAGTTCTGTACCCTGCCTTCAGGAACAGCGGAAGGGTAGCTGCCTTAGAGGACGAGCAAAGCCGACATACGCCTGCCTGACTAGAGAATGGTTTACAGAAGTTTCTTTGTTCCACGGCTGATATACTGGACAATGTAACTGTTACTATATTCTCTGGTTTGCAAAGCTCTAGGAAGTATCCAACTTAGCCAATTGGAATCTGAAGACACCAAATCACGTCCCAGTCCAAAACTACCACTAGGGGCCTGGATGAGATTGGAATCTCTGATTTACCCATAACCATTTCCCCGAACCACAAAACCCGACAATCAAGCCAGCGACCATGACTTCCACACTCCCCCCACACTGCATATACAGCTCCTTTTCTTGAGTCCTTTAAATTAACCAAGTGCTCAGAAAACCAAGTTAGGCACAAAGACCTTTTAAGTCATGAAGTCCCTTTGGCTCCCCTAGCCAATGGGGACCAGCCTTACAACAAGCATATTCATTTTCACACCGCCCTATATTGCTGTGCCGGCTTCACCGCATCTCCCACTTCAGGCTAGATAACCCCAGGTCTTCTGCTTATTAAGCCTCCTCCCACAAATGGAAATGGATGCTCTACGCTTTACATTCTCTCAACTCCACGGGTAGAACAA